TCTTGTTATGCGATAACAAAACAAAAAGCTGAAATCATATTCAAACTATTAACTCTGTACACACATCAAATAAATTAACAACTTTTATTCTTAATAAAAGAATTTATTAACAGAAACCACTCAACTTCGAGTCCAACGCTTCAGTTGAAAACCAGTGTTTCCAAACATTCTTTGACTTGTTTACCACTTTGAGAATTTTGTCTTAACATGAGGTCCTCTCTCTGTAAAAAGCATTGATGATTGTCCTAAATTGGAACGTACAATAACTGATCATAAAATGAAAATTGTTTTATTTAATATTCTAATTTAAGCATTTCAGCCTTAGGCATTTTATGCTTTCAATCTCAAATAAAAGAATAACATAAATATGTTGCCTGGAAGCAGTGTTGGGGAGTAACGGATTACATGTAACAACGTTACATAATTTAATTATAAAAAAATAGTAACTGTAATTCGTTACAGTTACAATGAGAAAATATGTAATTTAGTTACAGTTACTTCCGAAAATATTAAGAATTACAAATTTAGTTATATTTTTTAAAAAATATAAAGAAAAACCTCTGCGAAATATGTAAGATATTTGTATTGCTTCGTTCCCTGTATCGCCGTTTCCCGCTACGGCTCCTTGTCTCTATCATATTTGCCACTCTGATGATCCATCCTGTGCTGGTGGAGCCTCCTTGAGGAACAGCAAGTGAGGGGACGGTTCTATTTCAGCTCAAGCAGCGCATCAAAAATGACAGCCTTCCAGCACTGGAAATTTAAGAAGCATTTCATTTACATCTGTGAAAATGGCTCAAATTTATCCGTGCAGTGCAAGAAGTGTTTGCCGGCTATCAAGAACTTGTCCACATCGAAGCAATCTATGTCAAACCTGAGGAAACATTTGGAGGTTAGTGCAACTCACTGATAGACGAAGCATCTCTTCTTGTAGACATCCTGTGATTGCCTGTCAGCAGTTCCCTCTCAGTTTAGTGCTTTTTTAAGGTTCACAAAAATGTAATGTTTAACATGGGTCAATACTCATTAAAACCTTAAAGTAATCAAAAAGTAATCAAAAGTAATTAGTTACATTACTTTTTAAAAGTAATCAAAAAAGTTACACTACAATTACATTGTAAAGAAGGTAACTTGTAACTGTAACGGATTACATTTTTAAAGTAATTTACCATACACTGCCTGGAAGTTAGTAAAGAATTGAAATGCATACAAAGAAAATCATATGTGATTATGAACCTCTATTTATAAAACTTGAACTCCTCTAAGTAATTCCCTTTATCACGTTTAAACTTTTAAAATTACAGTCAGACTGACTTAATTTATTTTACTTTGTTTTCATCAAAACACTGAGCTGCTTTGAAGAGCTCTGATAGCTCAGTGGGAAAAACAGCTGATCCCAGGCTGTTCTATACATCCTGTTTGTTCCTTTGCCACAGCTGAAGGTGAACTCAAACATATAAGATAAACGTACATTTTGGTTGATTTTCAATTGGGTCCTTACAGAGTAGAACAGATCCCAGACATAGTTTAGCCTTCTTTTATTTTAAGGCCTAATTAATAAAATATTTTCATGTACCCCTTGCAATGGACTTGTCGACCACCAGGGGTACGAGATCCCCGGTTGG